AGGGGGCCGGCGCCGGAAGGGGCCGCGCGAGGGAGAGAGGGAGAAGGTGCAGCCGGACGGGGGTGGCGGGGGCACGCTCTGGAGTGCCGAACCCCATCTGACGGGCGCCCCGGGACCGCGCCTAGAGCGGAGACGCACCGGGAGGATGCGAGCTCCGACCGGGAGGAGGGGGCCGCGACTCGACCCGGCCCCGGGGAGGTGCGTCCTAGGAGGAAGTGCCCCCCCAGACGAGTATTGGGGACACTTCCGAGTTGGATTTCCCACAAGTGGGCCCCCCACACCTGCAGGCGAACGACCCGCGCCCCGACGCGGGAAGCACCCCTGGAGATGAGCGCTTCTCCGGAAGCGGGCGCCAGCGATGATTCTGGAGAACCCCAAGGGTCGCAGATGTGGGAGGAGCCGCCGCTTCCTGGAGAGGAGGAGCCACAGGTGCGCCCTGCATTCCGGCCTGGAGTTGAGGGGGTTCCAGCTTGGTTGCGGGGTACGGCCGCAGATGGCTGACAGCCACGCCTAGGCACATGGAAGGTGGAATTCCAGACGAACCTGGGCCCTGGAAGTTTTCGGAGGTGGGGGGGAGGGGGGGCGCAAGTCTTCACTACAAGTTATGAGGCGCCACAGCTGAGTTTCAGGGTTATCTGGGGGCAAAGAAACTTCACCTGTACTTAGGGGTCACTTCAAGAGAGATGTAGCTCAGAAATGGAATTACATTCCAACTTTAAACAAGGGAAAAGTGAGGGTCTGAGAGAACAAAGATTGGGTGGAACAGCCAGGGGGTGCTGGTTCACTCCTGTAATCCTATCTACTTTGGAGACCAAGTTCTGAGGATCTTAGTTTGAAGCCAATCAAGGCAGGAAAGCCTGTGACCCTAATCTCCAACTGAAACTACCAAAAAAGTGGGAAGTGAAGCTGTGGCTCCAGTGATAGATCTATAGCCTTGAGCAAAGTTAGCTCAAGGGCAGCATCCACACCCTGAGTTCAAGGCCCAGAACTGACACAAAAGCCAGATGGGGTGAGATTCTGGGTGGGTCTCCAGTACCACCTGTATAGAGGCACTGGCACCCATCGGGCAGGCTGAGAACAAGGAATCCAAATACTAAGACCCAGGTGAGGAAGGATCTGACATCCAGCTCTTCTCCACCTTCCCACTCAGGACTCTAGGTTGGAGTTGTTGGAGCCCCCACAAGGCACAGTGGTGGGTAAAGAAGAACAAGAGCTGCTGGACAAAGCCTTCTTCTCCTGGGCAGAGTTCAGCTGCTTCTTCGACCAGTGGTGCCAGCAGCGGCTGGTGGTCTTTTCTGTGAAGAGCTCCACACATGTGGCACGCAGCCCTTGGGCCAGCACACCCCCACTCTACCGGCTCATCCACGTGCTCAAGTACAGCTACGTGCTGCTGGTGTGCAAAGATGCACGTTCGCCTGACCAGTCCTCAGCGTGGTGCGTGACCCTGGGACTATGCCCTGATGTGGGAAGAAAAAAAAAAAGGGCGGGGGAGGGCAGTGAGCCCACCTACCCACTTGTAGGGGACAGAGAGGCTGATTGAGAATGATCACTACAATGAGGTTGGGTGTCTAGAAGGGGGTCCCTTACTGAGAAAGGGAGATGAGAGAGGAGTCTGGAAGGCAGAGGGAGAGGAGCTCACACTGCCAGACAGTAAGATTGGACAGAAGCCCTGAGGAAGACAGAACTAGTGAAACAGAACAAAGGCCAAAAAGAAAACCCATAAACACCATCCCTCATAGATAATACTTGTAGCCAGGGTAAATAGGAACCCTGTCCCTGATAGCCTTCTAGAGAAGAGGGTAGAGCAAAAGCCCATTTCACCATTAACCAAAGCAAAAAGGGCTGGAGGTGGGGCTCACCCTGGTAGAGCCCTTCCCCTAAGCAACTCCTCAGTTTAAACCCCAGTACCATCCAAAGCAAAAAAAAATTTTTTTTAAGGCTTAATCTTTTTTCAGTGAAACTATAAGACCACCATTAGACCACTTCTACGGCTATCAGGGAGGAGCAGGGGGAGAATGCGAGAGAGACAAGGTTCACTCTGCAGGCAGTATTGCCTCTTTGAACTGGGAAGGACATCAGTGCCTGCCCATGTCGCCCCATCAGATAAGGTTTGGAGCTCCCATTCATTCCCCAGGCTCTACCTGTCTGCTTCCTCGTGTTGGGTGCTACCCCTTCCCCATCCCTCCTTGCTGACTCCTGTAGGAATTTGAGGCTGCTGGTTGTAGTCCTTAGCCAAGGTGGGCTACATGAACACAGCTTAGGCAGTGGTCTTTGCCTCAGTTTCCACACTGTCACAGAGCCGTTGGGAGGATGGATGTGCCCCTGGAGCTCTGAATAGCTGAATCCAGAACTAAGTGGTAATTGTTGTAGGAACTTGGAGCACAGAACCCGTGCTGGTTGGTGCTCGGCCTTTGGACTAGTCAGTTGTATGGAGCAGGCAACCCCCCCTTCTGGGCCTCAGTTTCCTCTTTTTAGCGGGGGTGGGGGCACAAAAGCACCTCAGGGTTTTCTGTCGCTTTGTTTTGCACCAGTATTGGGGCTTGAACTCAGGGCCTTGAGGGCTCATTTATTTTTCCCACTCATGTCTGGTGAGCTACAGCTCCACTTCCAGCTTTTTGCTGGTTCATTGGAAAGAAGAGGTTCATGGGCTTTCCTGCCTGGGCTGACTTCCAGCCTCTGGTCCTCAGATCACAGCCTCCTGAATAGCTGGGGTTACAGGCATGTGCTGTCCTATCCTGTCCTGCTTTATCCGGAATGAGCTCTTGTAACTCAGCCTTCCCAGCTGCTCCAACTTCGGCTTCTCCAGTGTCACAGGCCACACATAGGTTGAGATCTGAGGCTGGAGAATTAGGGTAAGAGAAGGCAGAGGATGAGGCCATAATGGTGTTGAAGCCTGGACCCTGTGGCGCTGTGTCTAGGGGGTGTTGCTGAGCAGAGTGGGTGCTGGGATAGGAAAGTCCTTTGGGGTGAGACTGAGTTTTGGGGTCCAGGAACATAGGTAAAGGTATCACCCTTATTCTTCCCCTTTCTAGGTGGCACGGTACCACCTCTAGCACCTGTCCCTTCCCCCTCCCTTTACCTGCTGGGCTCCACAGCAGGACTGCCCCACCTTCCCCAGAACTTTTACAGTGGAAGTAGTGCTAGCGCTTTCAGAAGAAGAAAATTAACTTTGGGTTTTTTTTTTGTAGTAGGTTGTGAACTCAGTGCTTATGCTTCCTACTTGCTAAGAAGGGAACCTGCGCATGGCTGTTTTTTGGCACCTATCATCTGGGTTTAACACTTCCTGTGCTAGCTAGGATTATAGGTAGGAGCCACTAGACTCGGCTCTGTTCACTTTGACAGGTGGCTGTGGTAAGTACAGAATTTTCTCAGCAATGCAAGTTTTACGTATCCATCTTTACTACAGCCCTCAAAAAAAGGGCTGATGATTACGATATGGGGAAATTGAGGCAGCTGTTTTTCCCAGCTGGCATACTGTACAGAGCCCCTGGTCTCCTATGCGGGGTCATGGGGTGATGGAGCTCATTCTTTCCTGCAGGCCCTCCCAGCCCAGCTGCCCGGCCTTTATCATCGTCAAGCTGAGCCCGCTGCGGGACCGCCTGGTGGTGTCGGAATGTCAGCTCACGCATTCCCACCCCCCCTGCCCGCACGAGTTTGCCTGCCACTTCCGCCCCGGGCACTTGCTAGGCAACGCCTGCCTGCCTGTGCGAGTCACCAACCAGATCTCCAAGCAGTTCGTGGCCCCAGCCGATGTGCGCCGCCTGCTGTCCCACTGCAAGGGTCCTGACCACGGGGTCCTGGATGCCTTGCACGTGCTCGAGGGGCTCTTCCGCACCGACCCTGAGGCCAAGGTAGGGGAGGAGGGAGCCAGGTGGTCCCTGGCTCACATCCATTCCTCCACCCACCCATCACTTCATCATTCTGTCAACATGGACCTATTGGGCCATAGCCTCATGGGCCCTCCCTTGGTCCTGTCCAGTGCAGCTGCCCCCACAGGCTTTTTGTCCTTTGGGAATACTTTGTCTCTTGCACGGGTGGCCTGGAAATGAGCACCAGGAAGTGAATTCCTTTCAAGGAACTGCAATTTACCCCTAGACAATTGCCCTGGACCTATCATCCCAGCTACTTAGGCTGAAATCTGAGGATCACAGTTCAAAGCCAGCCCAGGCAGGAAAGTCCAGGAGACTCTTATCTCCAGTGAGCCACCAGAAAACCAAACAAAAGTGGCACTGTGGCTCCAGTGTAGAGCACCAGCCTTGAGTGAAAAAGCTAAGTGACAGCACCCAAACCCTGTGTTCAAGACCAGCACCTATTATATGGCAGTTGGCTCCCTTAGAGATACCTGCTGGACCCACCTTTTAAGTTTTGGTTTGGTTTTTTGTTTGATAGTGGTGGTGGAATCCAAAGCCTCCATACATTTGTCAGGCAAGCAGTACCACATAATACACTCTCCCAGCCTTTTCTGTTTGTATTGGGGTTTTTTTGTTTTGTTTTGTTTTTAAATAGAATCAAGCTAATTTTATCCAGGTCTTCACCAGTGTGAATAGCTTGGGTTAGAGGAGTATGCTACCACACCCAGCTCCACCTTGCAGTGCTATTGGGAGAAGCCATACCCAGATAAGATAAGCTGGCCTCTTAAGTTATAGGTTGCCTAAAGATGGAAGGTAACATCTAATTTTTTTCTCCAAAGTGACCTACACAAATAGAAAATGCCCAAATGACAAATGTATGAATGCGCACAAGGCCACACACCATCACCACCACCCCACCTCAGCACCAGGATTCCATGATCTGCGATCCATGGAGGGAGGAGTGTATGATCCAGAGGAGCAGATAGAAGGCTGCCATTTAATGTTGGTATTGTGTTTAGGGTGCTGTTTTGAGTGGTCCGGGAAGGAACATGTGAGGAGCTAGTGGTGAAGCAGAGAGGACAGGCTGGAGGAAAGGGAACCCCATTCTGCTGTCGGGATGGGGAGAGTTTCAGGCACAGTGAGCAGCCAGAGAGAAGGTGTGGAGGTTGGAGCAGGCTGGTTGTGTTAGCATGTCACTCTGCTGTTTTACTCCAAGAGGAGAGGGGAGGAAAAGGAGAGGGAGGCTGGCTGGCAGGCAGGATGGTTTTGTTTCTCCACCTGGCAGTACCTGGATTCCTCATGCATGGCAGTGTTCCCAACTCAATTCATTTTTGTGTTAGGGTCTTTTTGCTCTGGCCAGCCTGGACCATAATCCTCCTATTTACAGTTCTTGTGTAGCCCTGGATGACAGATGCCACCACACCTGGCTTTTTTATGTCCAAATAGGATCTCTTGACCTCCCCCACCATCACCACCCCAGACTGGCCTCAAATCTATTCTCCTGATCGCTACCTCCACCTAGGATTACAAGTGTGACAGCTAGGATTACAGGTGTGAGCCACAGAGGTCCAATATCCTAGTTGCATTTTTAACTTAAAGCGAGTTGCGAAACACTGTACATCCTATGCTGTATTACATATAAAATAAGAAAATAGGAATTATAAGTGTCAAGGCCAGCAGGTGCCACATATACTAAGAAAGAGAGTAAGGCTTTTAATACAGCTTGGTCATACTTGAATTTTGAACCATTTGAACTTTCCCATATTTAAATGGTGAATTTTTATTTATTTATTAGTAATGAAGACTATACTCCCAATGTGCTACACCCATTTATTTCTCTCACCGGTACAAGGATTTGAACTCTGGACCTTACACTTCCTTCATTTGCTTGCTTGGCCTGTGGTCTACCACTTGAGCCATGCCTCCAGCTTTGCTTTTTTGCTGGTTCTTTTAGAGATCAAATCCCCTGGCCTTCTCTGCCTAGGCTGATTTAAAATCATGATCCTCCAGATATTAGTCTCCTAAGTAGCTAGTATTACAGGCTTAAAGCTACCACGCCCTTCATAGTTTACATTCTACATAGAAAAATGAACTACCATATAGGACAGACCAGAACTCAACTGAAGATGGGTCAATTCGATTAAACTCATAGTAGAAAGTGATGCAGTGGTGAGTGCTTGGTGATATTGTTAACTCATTCAGCGATAAATTTACCAGATTTTTGTTTTCATGACCTATATTGAGTTTCAATATACTTTAGAGTACTGAATATATGATTTCTGGGCTAGGAAGACAAAATCTTTCCTCTCTGGATTCTACCAGACTTTTTACTTAATAGGTGTTTTGTTTTGCTTTTTTTTTTTTTTTTTGCAAGCTCAGCATGATGCAGTGCTTTTAAGATGGAGTTACAGGATTTGGTTGGATTATGACAAAAGGCTTTGTGGGGAGATTTATGATTAAAGCGGATTCCAATTCTGTTTCCACTACTGTGAGTCAGCTCTCACAGGGTCTGGCTTTGTGAGTCTCAGCCTCTGGCTGCTTAGTACCTTTGTGAGCAGACAGATCTTTGTGTGAGTGTGCGTTTGAGTATGTATATGAGTCAGCCCTGGGGCTTGAACTTGGGGCCTTCACTGTTGCTTAGCTTTTCTGCAGGGCTGGATCCCTAATGACCTCTGGGTAATTTTTCTTATTACTGTGGAACAAATTGCTGTAGATTGAGCAGCGAGGGTCCTTGTGTGTGTGCCTGCATACATGCTTGGGCACAAGTCCCCAGGGCTTGAATTGAGGGCCTGGGCATTGTCCCTGGGCTTTTGTGGTAAAGGCTAGTGTTCTACCTCTTGAACCACAACTAACGTCATTGGAGATAAGGATCTGACAGACTTTCCAGCCTGGGCTGTCTTTGAAGCTATATCTTCAGATCTCAAGTGTCTTGAGTAGCTAGTTCAGATGTGAGCCACTGGTGCCCACACTGCCCCCTGCCGGTCATAGGGGAAAGTGCAGGCTCATTTTTGCAAGGGTGAGCCTGACCCTTGGCTGACCTTGTCTGACTGCTCAGGCCAGGGGTGAGCGCACCCAGACCTTTTGTTGCCTCTTGACCTCTGACCATCTAGGGATGTGCACCCCCATGTCCCTAATTTCTGTTTGACCTCTGCCCATCCAGGGATGGTTTGGGCAAGCACCCCCACCCGCTTCAGGCCCTGATCACCAAGGAAGGGGTCAGTCAGGTAGACCGTCCCTGACCCCTTTTCAAAACTCTCCCTGACCTCCGGCGTCCCTTGACCTCTGTGTGACCTTCGCCCCGCCCACAGGTGAAGCTGGTATTCGTGGAGGACCAGGCGGCCGTGGAGACCGTGTTTTTCCTGACGTCGCGCACACGTGCGCTTCTGCGCCGCTTCCCACGCCTGCTGCTGGTGGACCGGCTGCCGGGGCTGCAGGGAGCGCTGGACCTGGTGTCCGTGCTGTGCGTGGACAGCGCGGGGCGCGCGCGGCAGGCGGCCTGCTGTGTGGCTCGGCCC